TAATATATTATGTTATGAATATAATCATACCATGAAGTAAATTATTGTATTATCATAATTAACAGAATTAACTGATAATGATGATGAACATTTACTTTTGATTGATTATGCACGTGATGATGATTACGATGACATTATGTTATCATTTGATGATTATGAAAATTAACGGCTCTCTTTATATATATGGCCCTATCGCCAAACGACTCGCTATGATTTACTCCCTCGCTCGCTCTCTCTCTCTCTCACACACACAGACAAAGGTCCCCCACAATAGCCCGAACAGACTTTTGGCCAACTTTCTTGTAGCGAGTAGCAACGTATGAAGGCCGGCACGACACACGAGGGGATGGGTGGCCAGAACCACGCCCGGTCGCATTATGTCTCGATGTTTACACATCGCACCAGGTACACATTTGAGGCTGAGTCGACCTAGGGGAGGCCCAGGACCGGTTCAGATAATCGTCACCGGTGTTGGCCGTGAGCTATGAGCAAGCTCGGGTCGCCGGGTTCGTAGCGCTGTGCCGCTAACCGCTACACTATCGAGTGCAGCTTTACACAGACACAGACAAATACACAGACAAATACACAGACAAATACACAGACAAATACACAGACAAATACACAGACAAATACACAGACAAATACACAGACAAATACACAGACAAATACACGGACAAATACATGGACAAATACGTTCACACACAGACGAATAAACACAGACAGATACAAGACAAACACCGACACACGCAGACACACGCAGACAAATCTACACACGTATAAAGACATACACACAGAGAGTCATAAAAATTGACAAAGATTCCCCGTATAGCCTCAATAGACTGTTGGGGCAAGTGCTCTTAGCAAGCACCTATGAAGAACGTAACACCAGGGGGTGGGTGGCCAGCACCACGCCCAGCCGCCTTTGTCTCCCCTAGTGGCGATGTTTTTGCGCACCGCACCAGGTACTCATTTGAGGCTGAGTCGACCTAGGGGAGGCCCAGAACCGGTACAGATGATCGTCACCGGTGTTGGCCGTGAGCGGGAATCGAACTCCGGCCGCCAGGTTCTTAGCGCAGCGTGCTAACCGCTACACTACCGCTCCCCGCAAACACACACAGACGAATACACACGCACACATATAGAGACAGACACACACAGTCATATGCAGACACATACATACAGACACACACACGGCACGATCGTGATGTTGGGATGATTGCTTACAGGAAGAGGAATGTGAGTATACATTTCTCTTCGTTGTGTAGCTTATTGTACGTGTGCGCGTGTCTCGTGTGTGTGTGTGTCCATCTATCGTGTATCTGTCTATTGTCTGTGTGTGTCGTATGTGTGTGTGTGTCTATCGTGTGTGATGTGTCTATTGTGTGTGTGTGTCTAAGTTTCTGTATGCGTGTGTGTGGTGTCTATCGTGTGTGTATTGTCTAATGTTTGTGTGTGTCAATCGTGTGTGATGTGTCTATTGTGTGTGTGTCTAATTTTCTGTATGCGTGTGTGTGATGTGTCTATCGTGTGTGTGTGTAATGTGTCTATGGTGTGTGTGTGTCTAAGTTTCTGTATGCGTGTGTGTGTGTGTGACGTGTATATCGTGTGTGTGTGTCTAAGTTTCTGTATGCGTGTGTGTGTGATGTGTCTATGGTGTGTGTGTGTCTAAGTTTCTGTATGCGTGTGTATGTGTGATATGTGTATGGTGTGTGTGTGTCTAAGTTTCTGTATGCATGTGTGTGTGATGTGTCTATGGTGTGTGTGTCTAAGTTTCTGTATGCGTGTGTGTGATGTGTCTATCGTGTGTGTGTGTAATGTGTCTATGGTGTGTATGTGTCTAAGTTTCTGTATGCATGTGTGTGTGATGTGTCTATGGTGTGTGTGTCTAAGTTTCTGTATGCGTGTGTGTGTGTGATGTGTCTATGGTGTGTGTGTGTGTGTCTAAGTTTATGTATGGGTGTGTGTGTGTGTGTGTGATGTGTCTATCGTGTGTGTGTGTGATGTGCCTATGGTGTGTGTGTGTGTCTAAGTTTCTGTATGCGTGTGTGTGTGATGTGTCTATCGTGTGTGTGTGTCTAAGTTGCTGTATGCGTGAGTGTGTGTGTGTCGAAGTTTCTGTATGCGTGTGTGTGTTTGTCTAAAGTGTGCGGTTCGGGGCGTCATGGTGGCTAGGAGATGTTAACTTCTTCTCCTCTTATACAGAAGATCGTGGGTTCGATCCCGACCCTGACAACGCCTGCTGCTGTATATGTGGAGTTTGCGGTGTCTCTCTCCCCGTGGTCGCGTGGATTATTCTCCGGCTCCTCCACATTCAGAATAACTGCGCGTTTAGAGAATCTGGCTGCTATCAATGTCCACGTGATAAGCCACTTCGTTGAGCTATCACATGTGGCCAGGTCGCTTCTGAAAAAAGAGAGCTACATCGCTCAGTGGGCTTTACCTGGTAAAATAAAATAAAGAGTTTAAGCTAGTTAGTGTGCGTGTCGTGCGTGGTGCTGGCCACCCACCCCCCTCGTGTGCCGCGCCAAACTTCATAGCCGCTCGCTGACAGCACTTGCCCCAAAAGCCTGTTGAGACTATACGGGGGGTCTTTGTGTTTGTGTGCGTAGTGATCGGTTAGCGCGCTGTGCAACAAACCAACTGGCTACCTGAGTTCGAATCCCGGCCACGGTTAACATCAGTGGTGAGTGGTTACGTGAACCGGTCACGGGCCTCCACTAGGATCAATTGGTGCGGTGTGTTCACTCATCAGTACTGGGGAGACAAAGGTGGCCGGGACTGTGGCTGGCCACACCACCCCCTCGTACCGGGCACTCAGCCGGCCTTCATAATTGCTAGTTTACAGCACTTGCCCCAACAGTCTAATGTGGGCTATATGGGTATTTTTTGTATTTGTGTCATGTGTGCAATGTGTACGCTAGCGTGTGTACACGACGCGGGTGTCTGTATGTCCTTGCCCATAACCGTGCGTGTATTATAGTACATAGAATTGTCTGTGCACATGCATACAATGTGGAGCGGCAGTGTCGCGGTTAGCGCGCGGCGCTTCGAACCCGGCGACCCGAGTTTGATTCCCGCTCACGGCCGAAACCGCTGACGATTATCCGAATGGGTCCTGGGGCTCCACCAGGTCGACTCAGCCTCAAATCGCTCCCTGTTGCGGTGTGTGAACATCGCCGCTGGGGAGACGAAGGCGGCTGGGCGTGGTGCCGGCCACCCACCCACTCGCGCGCTGTGCCGGCCTTCATAGGTGCTCGTGAAAAGTACTTGCCCCAACAGTCAGTTAAGGCTGTACGGGGAATATTTGTCTTTGGTGATAAGCGGTAGTGTTGCGGTGTGCGCACTCAACTACGAAGCCGGCGACCCGAGTTTGATTCCCGCTCACGGCCCACACCAGTGACGTTTATCTGAACCGGTCCTGGGCCTCCCCTAGGTCGACTCAGCCTCAATTGGGTGCTCGCTAACAGCACGTGCCCCGAATAGTCTGTTCAGGCTATCCTGGGGATATTTGTCTTTGTATGTGCGTATGTTCTTGTATCTACAAATGTACCCCCCCCCCTACTTTTGGAACGCGTCCGTGACCGCCTATATGTACACACACATGCGTGTGTTTTCTGCTTGCATGCGAAGAGCGGTGGCGCAGTAGTTAGCGCACTGCACTGTCCGAACCGGGCGAGCCGAGTTCAGCTTCCGATCATGAAGGATTAAAGTGGTGACTCATTTGAACCAGTTCCTGGGTCCTGCCCTAGGTTTACTCAGCCTTAAATAAGTGCCTGGTGCTGCAGTGCTAACATCAGCACTGGGAAGACAAAGGCGGTCGGGCGCCGGGGTTGGCCATCCAACGAATCGCGTGCCGTGCCGGGCTTGATAGGTGTGCGCTAACAGCACTTGCCGCAAGTATGTTAAATGTCTATACGGGGGAACTTTGTATGTTGTATCCGTGTACGTACATTTTACAGATACACAGGGAGTCTGTGTACCCAAGTACATGTGTGTGGATTCTTCCTCCGTCTAAGAACGTGTACATATTGCCTAAAATCTATATTATCATCATCATCACAACCATCATCACCATTATTATTATTATTTGCTCATAAAATCACTCATTGATGCTATCATACATCTAAAATCACTACTATCATCCATTAGCATCACTTGTTATCATAATCATCATCACAATTTTACATTGCAAAGTATCCCTTTCGGAATAATTGCATTCAACATCATTCCAAAATCAAGCCTACGCTGTATTATAAAATAATCACGATCATCATTACTACCACCTCAGCATAACACTTTGACATCCCTACTCATCACATCAATCATCATCATTCTCAAATCAAGTGAATCATCATTAGTACAGCGACATCATTAGTATCAATAATTATGAACAATCCTTCAAATATCATCAACAGGAGTACTACCACAACCACCAACCACCATCACCACCATCCTCACCACCACTTCAACCACCATCACCACCATCCTCACCACTACCTCCACCACCATCACCACCATCCTCACCACTTTCACCACCATCCTCACCACTACCTCCACCACCATCACCACCATCCTCACCACTTTCACCACCATCCTCACCACCACCATCACCACCATCCTCACCACTACCTCCACCACCATCACCACCATCCTCACCACTTTCACCACCATCCTCACCACCACCTCCACCACCATCACCACCATCCTCACCACTTTCACCACCATCCTCACCACCACCTCAACCACCACCATCACCACCACCATCTTTACCACTACCTCCACCACCACCATCCTCACCATTCCGACAATCAATCAACACCACCATCACCGTTAGTATGATAACTTTCATAGTGCTGTTTGTTGCTGTCCGCTTGGCGTTCGGTGCTGTCCGACACGCGCTGAGTGACTGCGATTTAAGAACCAGCATCTCCACTATGACCAGCACCATCAGCACCCACACCTCATCATGAAATCTCTCTCCTCCTCCTCCACACACTCAGCTCCTCGTCTCCTCGCCTCCCTCCTCTTCCGTCATCCCGGGCATCATCAGCGGCATCAGCAACAACAACAACAGCAGCAGCAGCAGCATTCTCAGCAGCAGCAACAATAACAACAGCAACAACAACAGCAGCAGCAACAGCAGCAGCAGTGGCGGCGGTGGCATCACTAGCCCGTGCTACGACAGCAACAGCAGCAACATCAACAGGGGTTCAAATTCCGCCCCGGTGGACGGTAGCACAGGTTCGACTCCGGGTTCGCGGGTGGCCACGGGACCGGCCACCCCTCCTCCGCTTCACCCGTCGGCCGTGGCTGCCCCCACGGTCTGCTGTTCCCCGTACAACAGCCGCCTGTTGGCCTCGGCGGCTGCCCGAGGGGACCTCACGGCCCTCGGGGTCTATGGGGGTTCGTACGCAGCGGCGGCCGCGGCACAGGGATACGGGAATTACGTCCCCTACGGAGCAGAGCCGTCTGCCTTCTACTCACCGCTGGTGAGTGGTGGGGCCGGGCGGCCGTGAGAGCGTGGATAGGTGAATGGCTGGGTGAGTGGATGAGTGAGTGGCTGGGTGAGTGGATGAGCGAGTGGATGAGTGAATGGCTGGGTGAGTGGATGAGCGAGTGGATGAGTGAATGGCTGGGTGAGTGGATGAGTGAGTGGATGGGTGAATGGCTGGGTGAGTGGATGAGCGAGTGGATGAGTGAATGGCTGGGTGAGTGGATGAGTGAGTGGATGAGTGAATGGCTGGGTGAGTGGATGAGTGAGTGGATGAGTGAATGGCTGGGTGAGTGGATGAGTGAGTGGATGAGTGAATGGCTGGGTGAGTGGATGAGTGAGTGGATGAGTGAATGGTTGGGTGAGTGGATGAGTGAGTGGATGAGTGAATGGCTGGGTGAGTGGATGAGTAAATGGCTGGGTGAGTGGATGAGTGGATGGCTGGGTGATTCGATGAGTGAGTGCATGGGTGAATGGCTGGGTGAGTGGATGAGTGAGTGGATGAGTGAATGGCTGGGTGATTGGATGAGTGAATGGCTGGGTGAGTGGATGAGCGAGTGGATGAGTTAATGACTGGTTGAGTGGATGAGTAAATGGCTGGGCGAGTGGATGAGTGAATGGCTAGGTGAGTGAATGAGTGGGTGAGTGATTACGTGGATTAGCGCATGAGTGGGTGGGTGAGTCAGTGGGTGAGTGTATACTTTGTGTGTGTGCGCGCGCGCCATTCACATGTGCTGTTACTCGCTCACAGCACTTGCCCCAACAGTCTGGTAGAGTCTACCCTAGGGGTCTTTGTTAGTGAGTGAGTGTGTTGGGAGGTGTGAGTGAGTGGGTGAGTTTGGGTAAAGTGCAGTAGTGTAATGTATGCGAATGAGTGAGTGTGTATAGGTGTGTTCTGGGCCTCCCCTGGGTCGAATCAGCCTCAAATGAGTACCTGGTGCGGTGTGTAAATATCGCCACTCCAGAGACAAAGGCGGCCGGGCGTGATTTTGGCCACGAAACCAAATCGTGTGCCATGGCGGCCTTTCATAGATGATTGCTAACAGCACTTGTCTCCCAGCAGTCTGTTAACGGATATACGGGAGAGCTTTGTCTTCGCGAATATCGGTGTGCAAGTGGTTTGGGTTGTGTTTTGTCAATTTGTAAGTTTGTATGAAGGGGGCAGTTGAAACAACGGTGCAAGTTTTTGTGTCGTCGTAATGCCCACCAGCAGTGGCGTGAGATAGCAAATGCAGAGCTGCGCCCCTACCTGTTTAAAAATAATAATAATAACACAGGACCTGTAAAACCACAGTTGCTTAATTATCGGCTGGATCATTCAAGGAACGTTGATCCGCGGAATATTGTTGCTACGACTCACCCATCTCGATCCCGGTTAAAAGTCGTGCACGGCCAACGCGATGATCCGCGATTAGTTCCCCTCGGGGTTATGATCGTCTCGTGTATAATGTGAAAGCAAATACGTGATTGGCTATGTCGGGTGGTGGAGGGTTATAATGCAATATTGGCATTTTACGCCACACGATCTCACCACCAAAGAAACGATTAATGAATGTGTTGATACAATTTTCGGCGTACAATGTAAGGTGCAATGATGTGGGATTATTATGGATAGGTGTAGACATTGTGCTCTTGTGTCTGTAATGGTCTCTTACGCCCCTAATCCGAGTGAGACATTGTAAGCAGGGCTATAGGCGGTGGCATGGCCCAGCGGCAGTGCGGTGGCCGCTTGCTGGTTACAGCGGTGCACGGTTCGAAAAAAAGCGGCCGCCCTGGTCAACATCCCTGACGAATGTGTTGAGTTGTTTTGGTTCTGGTCGAATTGAATTATAGAGCCATCCCAATGTAATCGCATTGACAAGACGTGATTTGAAGGGGGGGGGGGGGGGAACCACTAGCGATCATGATTCTGTCGATCATTCGGAGTTGTTGATTACAATTAGTAGGTGGGGCCATTGCGTATAAACACGTGACGGTTCACCCGCATGGGTCTTAGCAAAGCCTGAATCTGCTGATGAGTTACTGAATGTCGAAACCGGTCTAAGGTTTCGCAGTTTTACAAAACCAATGCAGCATAAGGGACAAGACGAACTTCCAGAAAGTCGTGCGGCTGTTGCAATGTGTAAACAAATAAAACACTTAGCGCAAGGAAGCGCATTGTCAACTCGTGTCGTTACTAATATAAAGTAACACGCTTGACGCTGAGAGCCAATAACAATAATGAATAGTTCGGCGGCCACCGCCTCACTGCCATCTGCGAGTCGGTAACGCGACGAGATATGAAAGCAAACGAGCGACCACAATGAGAAGCGGAGAGCACTACGCGATGCCGTGCTGTGGGCGAGGCGACGAAACGTCGAGTGGGGACTGAGTGACGCCACCCCGGACGTTCGACGTTCGATGGAGCGATTGGTTGTTGTTGGTGGTGATGATTGGATTGGTTGTTGTTGGTGATGATGATTAGTGGATTTGTTGTTGTTGTTGTTGATTATTGGATTGGTTATTGTTGGTGGTGATGATTGGATTGGTTGTTGTTGGTGGTGATGATTAGTGGATTTGTTGTTGTTGGTGATGATTGGATTGGTTATTGTTGGTGGTGATGATTAGTGGCTTTGTTGTTGGTGGTGATTATTGGATTGGTTGTTGATTATTGGATTTGTTGGTAGTGGTGGTGACTAATCAATAAGTTGTTGTTGGTGGTGGTGGTTTTCAATTGGCTGTTATTGTTGATTATTCGATTGGTTGTTGTTATTGTTGGTGGTGGCGGTGGTGATGATTGGATTGGTTGTTGTTGGTAATTATTGGATTGGTTGTTGTTGGTAATTATTGGATTGGTTGTTGTTTGTGATGATTGGATTGGTTATTGTTGGTGGTGATGATTAGTGGATTTGTTGTTGTTGTTGGTGATGATTAGTGGATTGGTTGTTGTTGGTGGTGATTATTGGATTGGTTGTTGTTGATGATTATCCGCTGGGCACCTCTCGACGGACACCTGAATGACATCAGTTGTTTTTGTTAAACTTGAAAGGACACTTTTCCACTCACTCGTTTTAAGGCCGAGCCGACCTAGGGGAAGAACCAAAAACCGGTTCGGACAGATCAGTCGTCACTCGTGTTGTCCGTGGCCGAGAATCACGGCTCAGGTCACCCGCGCCTGTTAGTCGTTGCAGTGCGCTAACCACTGCGCCACCACTCCACCGTCCCTTCGCTCGTGATTTGAATTCAATGACCAGCGAGAAACGATGCCCAGGGGCTCGTGAAGCATTCCGGTTGGGACTTTTTTTTTCAGAGTAAAATTTAAAAAAAAACGTCTTGAGTTGCCTCTTAAAGTACGCGTGCGGGATTGTTTATATATTCATATTTGGGTGAGTTTTTGTAATTGTGAATGCATGTATGTGTGTTAAGTATACGAGTGTATCTGTTAGGTATACGTGTGTATGTACGTGTGTGTTATGTATACGTGTATGTGTGTTAAGTATACGTGTGTGTGTTAAGTATACGTGTGTGTGTGTGTGTGTTATGTATACGTGTGTGTGTTAAGTATACGTGTGTATGTGTGTGTTAAGTATACGAGTGTATGTGTGTGTGTGTTGAGTATACGATTGTATGTGTGTGTGTTTTAAGTATACGTGTGTATATGTGTGTGTTAAGTATACGTGAGTATGTGTGTATGTGTCAAGTATACGCGTGTATGTGTAAAGTATACGTGTGTATGTGTGTGTTAAGTATACGTGTGTATGTGTGTGTGTTAAGTATACGCGTGTACGCGTGTGTTTAGTATACGTGTGTATGTGTGTGTGTTAAGTATACGCGTGTGTGTGTGTTAAGTATACTTGTGTATGTGTGTGTTAAGTATACGTGTGTATATGTGTGTGTTAAGTATACGTGTTTATGTGTGTGTTAAGTATACGTGTGTATGTGTGTTACGTATAGGTGTGTATGTGTGTTAAGTATACGTGTGTGTTAAGTATACGTGTGTGTTAAGTATACGTGTGTGTTAAGTATACGTGTGTATGTGTGTGTGTTAAGTATACGTGTGTATGTGTGTGTTAAGTATACGTGTGTTTGTGTGTGTTAAGTATACGTGTGTGTGTTAGGTATAGGTCCGGCAAAACAACCCCCTACCTCCTCGCGGTGCCGGACGGGCAACTCTGTCGTGGACAGTGCTGTGGGGGGAGGGCCAATTTTGATTGGCCTCTCCCCTCATGGCGTCTGTGACCACCACAGTGGCTAAACGGGGGCTCTGGATGGGTGCGAGAGGCTGGTAACCCCTCCACCTTCAAAAATGTACCACTAAACCACGACTGAAATATGTAACTAATAAGCTTGTGCCGGAGGCCCCGGGGGGACAGGCGTATATGACATCTCCTCCAGAACCAACGAAAAGCCACTTCGTGTGGCCACGTGGAATGTTCGAACGCTCACTGCGGAGGAGAGGCTGCCACTCCTCTGTCGGGAGCTGGACCGGTACCGCCTGGATCTCTGTGGCATTCACGAAGTCTGATGGACCGGTTCTGGCTCCTGCCACCATGAGGGGTGGACAGTCCTCTACTCGGGATAGCAGACTGCCAACCAAAGGGTGTGGCTCTTCTTTTGAACAAAAGAATGAAGGGGACGTGGGAGCGTGGCGGTGAGGTGTGGGAAGCTGTAAGCCCCAGGCTACTTTGGGCTCGCCTTCCCATCAACTGGAGGCGAGGAGAGGTGGTCGTGGTTACTTATGCCCCCACCGAAGACGAACATCCGTGGAGGGATTCAGGCAAAGTCGATGAGTCAGATGCCTTCTATGACCTCCTATCACAGGTGCTGGCTACAGTGGCCCCACGGGATAGAGTCATCTTGTTGGGTGACTTCAATGCCCGAGTTGGTCATGATGCTGGCACCTGGTCTGGAGTGATTGGAGGGCATGGGCCAGATCAGCTCAATAACAACGGTAGGAGGCTGCTAGATTTTTGTGCAGCCCATGTGCCTGTCATTACCAACACGCTGTTCCGGCATCGG